AGTGAGCCAAGGCCAGGGGTTCTGGTGAGCTTCAGGGCACATCCCTGGCTCTCCTCAGGTCTGAATCCTGCTAGGGAATCAGCAGTTCACATCTGTGATTCCGGCCCAATGCTGCTCACACAGGCCTGAGAGACTGCTGGAGGCTTCAGATAACCAGAGGGTGTGCAAGCCTGAGAGACTGCTGGGGGCTCCGGATACCAAAGGGTGTTCGAGCTGCTGTCCCTGTCAGGTTCCACTGGAGGTGGAAGTGCTCTGGGCCAGGCCTGCTAGATAGGTGGGCTCTATGAACAGACAGGAAAATTAGCAAATCTGGGGCTGCGGAAATGGCTCTGCAGGTAAAGTGTTTGCCACACAGGTGTGAGGAACAGGGTTCAGATCTCTAGAACCCATGCAAAAGCTGAGTGGGCGTGGTGGCTGCCTGTCATCCCAGTTCAAGGGACACCGAGACAGAGAATCCCCAGAGCAAGCTGGCTAGCCAAACTGGCATCAAAAGACCCTGCCCCAGTGTATAAGGTGGAGAGCGATTGAGGAAGACCCCAGTGTTAACCTTGGGCTGCCACAGGCATGTACACGTATGTGCACCTATACAGGCATGTGCCCACACACATGCAACATGCATACACATACATAGAGTGGACCAGAAAAAACTAACAACCCTGTTCCTATTTTCCTTACAGTGAGTGGCAGCAGCTTTGCTTAGATCTCCAGCAGAGGGGCTGAAGCAGTAAAGTGCATTTTGGGGTGCACAGTTCAATGGTGTTGGGACACTCACCATGACGTGCATTCATCACACCCTCCATGTCCACAACTCTATTGTTTTTTTTTTAATTAAAAATTTTTTTTTATTTGGGCGTGGTGGCGCACGCCTTTAATCCCAGCACTAGGGAGGCAGAGGCAGGCAGATCTCTGTGAGTTCAAGGCCAGCCTGGTCTACACAGTGAGTTCCAGGCCAGCTGGGGCTACTGGGAGACCCTGTTTCAAAAAGACAAAAAAAAATTTTTTTTTTCACTTTATGTGTACGCGTGTGTTGCCTGCATGTAGAACCAGTGTTCTTAACCACTGAGCCACCTCTCCAGTCCCCAAGAACTCTATTGTAGCCAACTGAAGCTCTGTCCCATTAGTCACCTGCTTTCCTGCCCTTGGCAGTCTGCTCTACTTTGTGTCTCTGAATTCAGCTGCCTTGGGCACCTCACGTAAGTGCTGTTCTGCGGTATTTATCTTTTTGTGATGGCTTTTATCGCTTAGCATAATGTCCCTGGCTCCTCCATGTTGAAGCAAGTGCCAGAATTTCCTTCCCTTTCAAGGCTGAAGAATATCCCATTGTATATAGGGACCCAGTTTTGTTTTTTTTAATCCATTCTGCTGCCATGGAAGCTCTGGCCGCTTCCTCCTCTCGGTTCTCCAGAGTTATAAAAATCACAGAGAGAAATGCACTTTTTTATTTTTATTTTTTTGAGACAAGGACTCATGTAGCTCAGGCTGGTGTCAAACTTCCTATGTAGCAGAGGATGACTTTGAGCTCCTGATTTTTCTGTTTCTACCTCCCGAGTGCTGGGATTACAGATATGTGCCCAGCTAGGAGTGCACTTTTAAAAGAAGTATATTCCTAGGCTGGGCGCGGTGGCGCACGCCTTTAGTCCCAGCACTTGGGAGGCAGAGGCAGGCAGATCTCTGTGAGTTCACGACCAGCCTGATCTACATACTGAGTTCCAGGCCAGGTGGGGCTACAGGGAGACCCTGTCTCAAAAATACAAAAAAAAAGAAAAATAAAAAAGAAGAGAGAGAGGAAGAGAGAGAGAGAGAGAGAGAGAGAGAGAGAGAGAGAGAGAAATGCCAGATTGGGGAGCACTGGGTTGAGGAGCTGTGCAGGATGAGGGGTCTTGAACTTCAGAACTGTGTCACTAGACCCGAGTGGAAATCCAACGGGTCAGTCAGGCTCCTGGGCCTACTCCTTGGCCACATCTGAACAGAATGTTTCCTCACACCTTGTACCCACAGTTCCACTTTCTTTTCCTGAAGGTGAGATTCCAGACACGTAATAGACCCTAGGTCTGTCATCCATGGGGCCCATGTCATCTGAGGGGCCCTGGAGCCTGGAGTGGGTTCTCTAGTAGCCACTGGTGCCTCCTGCTCCAGATGTCTCTACGCCCCCAGAGTAACCCAGCAATCTTCTCCTGTCTGAGAGTTATTGTTATACATAATAACACCACATCGTGGGCCTTTGCAAGATCCTGTGCAGCCCTGTGCAGCCCTTGCTGTCAGCCCTGGGACTGGTGTGATAGGTCTGAGGTCCCAGGGTGGGGAACATCTTACCTGGGTTCTTATGCCACTGAGGGAGCTGAGACAGAAGCCTATGGGGTTCCCAGACCCAAGACAGACACCCGCCAGGGCCCCAGCAGGTAAAAGATGTGTCAGGCTGAACACATGACGGGAGGACCTTATCTGTCTGTCACACCAGTTCCCACGGGTGAGGTAGAGGAGCCATGGAGGAGGAGGGGCCCAGCTAGGAGAGAGAAGACACTAAAGTCCAGAAAGGGAAGGCGGTTTGCCCAAGCCCACACGCTGGCCAGTGGAAGGGTCAGGAATATCCTAGATCGGCTGAGCCCACAGCCATCGTCTCTGGAGCTTTTTCTTGGCCCCCACAGCTGAAGGACACTCACCTCAGAGCAGGAGTAAGTGTGGGCAGGAGGTGGGGATACAGAGCTGTTTTCCTATCCAGCCTGTCCTCAAGTGCTCCATAGCCCAGAAGAGCCCCCAGCCTCTAAGAGGCTACAACCACATCTGTGGAGGCCCAACCCTGACAGTGTTTGTCATTAATTTTGGCCAACAAAGTAGCAAGTCTCTGTCAAGAAACAGATAGGGCTTCCCCAAATCCCAGATGGGATCTAGTCCTAGTCTAATGATTTGGGACCTTGTGAGGAGTGCTGGTCCTGGGAGGGTCTGACTTGAAATAGTACTGAGAGAACAGTCCGGATCTTTTTAAATTTAATTTAATTTTAAAATATTTATTATTGCTGGGCATGGTGGTGCACGCCTTTAATCCCAGCACTCCGGAGGCAGAGGCAGGAGGATCTCTGTGAGTGCAAGGCCAGCCTGGTCTACATAGTGAATTCCAGGACAGCTGGGGCTACAGGGAGACTCTGTCTCAAAAAGACCAAAAAAAAAATTATTATTATATGTTTTTTTTTATTTTATGTGTGTGAGTGTATTGCCTGCATGTATGTAAATGTACCTGTGTCATACAGTATACTTGGAGGTCAGAAGACAGCGTCAAATTTCCCTTGAACTGGAATTACAGATGGTTGTTTGCTGCCATATGGGTGCTAGGAATCGAACCCAGGTCCTCTGCAAGAGCAACCAGTGCTCTTAACCACTGAACCATCTCTCTAGCTCCTTAATTTAATTTTTGAAAGATTTAAAAATAAATATGAATGGGGGCCGGGCACGGTGGTGTATGCCTGTAGTCCCAGCACTTGGGAGGCAGAGGCAGGTGGATCTCTGTGAGTTCAAGTCCAGCCTGGTCTACATAGTGAGTTCCAGGACAGCTGGGGCTACAGGGAGACCCTGTGTCAAAAAGACCGGGAAAAAAAAAAAAAAAAAAAAAGAATGGGGGCTGGAGATGATGGCTCAGCAGTTAAGAATACTGGCTGTTCTTCCAGAGGACCTGGGTTCAATTCCCAGCACCCACATGGCAGCCAACAACCATCCATAACTCCAGTTCCAGGGGATCCAACACTCTCTTCTAGCAGCTGCAGGCATTGCACAACATGGGTGTACTTACATATGTGCAGGTAAAGCACTCATATCCATAAAATAAAAAGAATAAATTATTTAAAAATTTTATGAGTATGTGTCTGAGGGTATGTGCATGTGAATATGCACGTGCCTGTGGAGGCCAGAAGAGGGTGTCACACCCCCTGAAGCTAGAGTTACAGGTAATGAGTCCCCTGACATGAGTGCTGGAAACCAAACTTGGATCCTCTGCAGGAGCACCAAGTGCTGTTAACCACTGAGCCATCTCTCTAGCCCCCTGGGGGGGAGGTCTTTAAAAAATTATCTGGGGGGGGTGCAGGGGTGTGCACATCAGTGCAGATGCCAGTGGGGCTAGAGAGAGGGCTCAGCAGTTAAGAGCACTGACTGCTCTTGCAGAAGATCTGGGTTTGATTCCCAGCACCCACATGGTGGCTACAAACTATCCCTAACTCCAGTTCCAGGGAAATCTTTCGCCCTCTTCTGACCTCCACGGCATTGCATGACATGGGTGCACTCACATACATGCAGGCAATACACTCATACACAAAATAAAAATAATAAATGTAAACAGATTATTGCTTAAACAGCTGCAGCAGGAGATGTCTAGTTTATTTCATCAGCCAGGTGCAGCAACTATTATACCCACCCCAGGAAAAAAAAACCCTTTTTCACATAGCAGAGATCAAGGAGTTGGATGTGGAAGCTGGACAACAACATTTGCACACAATGAGGGCTCCTTCCCTACATTCACATTTTTTGTTTGTTTCTTGAGACAGGGTCTTCCTGTAGCCCCAGCTGTCCTGGAACTCACTATGTAGACCAGGCTGGGGCTACAGGGAGACCCTGTCTCAAAAAGACCAAAAAAAAAATTATCTAATTTTTAATTTATGTTGGGGGGGGCGGGGGTGTGCACATCAGTGCAGATGCCCGTGGAGGCCGGAAGATGGTGTCAGATCCTCCGGAGTTATAGGTATTTGTTCCCAGTGAGGGTGCTGGGAACAAAACTTGGGTTCCCTGCTAGAGCAGTACCTGCTTTTAACATCTGAGCCATCTCTCCAGCCCAACAGTCAGGGTCTTGAAATGGGACAGGTCTAAGGCTCATTTGCCCTAGCTCCGTGGGCAAAGGGTACTGGTTCTGTTTAGTACCCTCTGTCCTCAGGTCTAGGACAGTCCCTGGCCCACCCTGAGTATGTAGAAAAGCCTTGTTGCGTGACTGAGCAAGTGACCTGGCCTTCTTTGTCCCCCAGGTCCAGCTGGGAGCTCCCTGACCTTCAGGAGGGCAAGATCGAGGCCATCAGTGACTCAGACGGGGTGAACTACCCCTGGTACGGAAACACCACGGAAACCTGTACAATAGTGGGCCCCACCAAGAGAGACTCCAAGTTCATCATCAGCATGAATGATAACTTTTACCCCAGCGTCACGTGGGCCGTGCCCGTCAGCGAGAGCAACGTGGCCAAACTGACCAACATCTACCGGGACCAGAGCTTTACCACGTGGCTGGTGGCCACCAACACCTCGACCAATGACATGATCATCCTTCAGACGCTGCACTGGCGCATGCAGCTCAGCATCGAGGTGAACCCCAACCGGCCTCTGGGCCAGCGCGCCCGGCTGCGGGAGCCCATCGCCCAGGACCAACCCAAAATCCTGAGCAAGAACGAACCCATCCCGCCCAGCGCCCTGGTCAAGCCCAATGCCAATGACGCTCAGGTCCTCATGTGGCGGCCCAAGTACGGGCAGCCGCTGGTGGTGATTCCGCCCAAGCATCGGTAACAGCCAGGCCACCAATGAGGTCAGACTCACTAACAATATTACAGCTCAGACGGAAACCCAGATGCCCTCTCCGGTCATTCAGAAAAATACAACCATTCTACCTTGTCTAGGGGCGGATCTCACTGTGCTAATGCCCGACTGGCTTACCAAGCTCTTGCATCTGCTTCCTGGGGGGGGGGGGGGGGGGGGGGGGGGGGAAGGAGGAGGCAGCGGGATACACAAGCCCCCAGGTCATCTCTGGTCACCTCTCCTCACATCCCCGGTCGTTACAGTGCAGCTGATTCTTTGAAACACTGCTTTTTTCGGGGGGGGGGGGGGGGGGGGGGTTTTTTTTAGTTTTATTTAATTTTATTTTTTTAACTCTTCTTTATGGGATTCAGGGGCCCGGGAGAAGGCACAGCTGATTGTGAGGGAACGGGCCTTCCCCTCCCCGGGCCTTTCCCTCCCACCTCCCCTCCTCCGTCTTCTGCCACGCGGCCTTACTTACGTAGAACTTGCTTTGCCAAACTTTTGCCTTAAGCTGAATTTAAAAGGAAGGAAATGGGAAAGGGACAAGGTTTTCTTTCCCCCTGGACTTGACCTCTCCTGCCAGAGATGGAGAGAGGGGTGGGTCCAGAGGGAGGCCCACCAGAACCTCTCTCTCCCACGTCTGGCCAAGGGGAAAGAGTGGGGACTCAGGTTTAAAACCAGCTGTTTTGTTCTGTCATTTTGGCAGAATCAAAACCACAGATAGACTCTGCCAGACCCTGACTGCACCCCAGTGGAACCCCTCGAGAGTACCTGCGAGAGGCATGTGATCACCTCCTCTCTCCTCAGAAGCCTTAACTTGCCTGAGTTGAGGGGGCTCTGGGAGAAGGGGGAGGCCCTGCTGTGGGAGGTCCCATGAATGGCAGACTGGGGTCAGGAAACTTTTACCTTTGTTGCCCCCAGGACCCACCCCTAGGTGTGTGACTTTTTCTTTTCCATTCACCCTGATCCCAAATGCCTGGGGAGGGTTTGCCACAGACCCCTGACAGCTTGGCTGGAGACTTAAGGTAAGGAAGGCATGCCCTTCCCTCCTTGCCTGCATCATCACACTTGAATCTGGGGTTCTAGAACCCCAGGCTGCCCATCCCATCCTCCAGCACACCGAAAAGAAGCCATTGCAGGTCTTCCAGCTTGTTCTCGGGATGCAGCTTCCAGACTCCCTGGGGGTGGGCTGCAGACAGGCTCCCCTCCCCATCATAGGTGCTCCTGGGTGGGGGAGGCCTGGGGAGACAGCTGACACCCTGCTTTCTGTCTATAGAGAAGGAAACTGAGGCCCAGGGCTGGGAAGGGTCCATGCTCAAGAGGCGTCAAGCTGTTGTGGTGGCTAGTCTTGGGGTCCACCCTCTGGAGCCCTAAGACTTGGTCTTGAGTGAGGCCAAGATTTCTTGAAATGTCTGCTTTGAGCTGCTCGGGGGGAGCTATTGGGGACACTCCTTCAAGCATGCCAAGTCCACAGCTGCATTACTGGACCTGCATTCCAACTAATAATAAGCACAGAAAACTGTCAGACAAGAAAAATAATGCTTTTGCTGCCGATGAGCCACTTGTAGGCATCTCAGTGACAGCGTGGGAGGGCACAACTAGATCCAGGCTCTGCTCCTACCTGCGTGATGCGCTTTGCTCAGGGGTGCTTAACTAAGTCCAGTCATTCTCAGGCCTCTCAAGTCACGTGGTGTACACTGAGCTGAACCAGTGGACAGCACAGTGGGTGCTGGGGAATGCCCTTGTCAGGGCTGGGACCTCCTCTGAAACCTTCTGTGCGTGTGTGTGTGTGTGTGTGTGTGTGTGTGTGTGTGTGGGTGTATGAGTGTGTGTGTTTGTGTGTATGAGTGTGTGTGTATGTGTGTATGAGTGTGTGTGTGAGTGTGTGTGTGTGTGTGTGAGTGTGTGTGTGTGAGTGTGTGTGTGTGTGTGTATGAGTGTGTGTGTGTATGTGTGTGTATGAGTGTGTGTGTGTGTATGAGTATATGTGTGTGTGTGTATGAGTGTGTGTGTGTGTGTATGTGTGGCATGTAGGCTATGGCCTTGGGTGGGAAAGCCCTGGCTCCCAGCCCTGCTCTGGATAGGACTGGCCTTTGACTGGAAAAGCCTTCTTTACACTCAGGCCTTCTTTGCACTAAAGAGACAGGCCTTGGTGAGGGTCAGCAGGTAGGTCCATGTCCTGGGCCGGGTGGTCATGAAGGAGTTTCTTCCTGGAGGTTGGAATGGGGAGCAGGAATGTTAGTGAAGGGGGGATGAGCTGCTCTGGAGCATGGGGGCCCCCAAATCTACATTTCTTGAGACCCTTTGCCCCTGAATGCCCACCTGGCTTCCCTGGCTCCCCTTTGCCCCAGTCCCTCCCTTTCCACCCTCCAGCCTGGCAGAAGATGGGGCTGGAGAGACCCTGGAGAGGCTGTGTGTCTGGCTGAGGATGTACAGCTTTTGGGCGGGTTCCCTTCGCACCTTGCCTCATGTTAATGACAAGGGTTTCTGGGGCCCTGATTTTTCTGCTCCCCACTTCCATGCCCACCCAGGCCTGGGACACCCACTCCTTTCAGCAATAAGAACCAACCGTCCTTGGTTGTGGAGAGTACTGTGAACACAAACCCATGCGTGCACTTACCAGCAGGCAAGAGACTCTTGAAGACTATGTCAAATGAATCTTTTTTAAAAGTTTAAAATGAAATATATATATATATATATAAAGAGAAATAAAATTAATTTTAAAGCACATCTGGCACTGGCTGTTTCTCCAGGAGTGGTTCATGTGAGGTTCATTTCTTAGTAAGCCTGCCAGGGTGAACATACTTGGGAAGATGGGTGGGGCTGTGGCTCCGGTGCTGAGGGTCTGAAGACTATGCACCTGTTCCTTCTCATGGTCCCATCGCCATTGGGGCCAGCTCTGGGATTGCAGTCCTTTGGCCAGAGATGCCGCTGGCTGGTGTCCCTTTAGAGGGGTAAACTGGGGGACGGCTTGGCTTTTTGTGTGTGTGTTCACATGTATGTGTGCATGTAAGCATGTGTGTTTGTGTGCATGTGTGTACACATGCATGTGTGCGTGTAGGCATGTATGTGTGTGTGTGGACCAGAGGTCAAGATCCACAGTCTTCAGTTGCTCTCCACCTTACTTTTTGGGACAGAGCTCTCACTGGAACTGTGCTCACTGATAGGCTGGACTGGTCACCCAGTAAACCCCAGGCATCCCAGAGCTGGGATCATAAGCACACACCACTGTGCTTGGTTGTTATGTGAGTTACAGGGTTACATGAGTGCTGGGAATCACTTTCACATCTTCATGCTTGTGCATCAAGAACTTAACTGGCTGAACCCTCTCCCTGACCCCAGCTATGTAGTCCTGCTGGCCTAGAACTAGCTACGTAGACCAAGTTGGTCTGAACTCCACAAAGACCCCCCTGTCTCTGCCTCCATAGTGTTGTAAATAAAGGTATACACCACCATGCCTAGCCTTCCAGCTAGGGTTGTTTTTTTTTTTTTTTATGTGTATGAATGTATTACCTGCGTTTATATAAGTGCACCTGTGCCATGCAATGCCCACGGAGGTCAGAAAAGGGTGTCAGATTCCCCTGAAACTGGAGTTATGGATGGCTGTTAACCACCATATGGGTGCTGGGAATCGAACCCAGGTCCTCTGCAAGAGTGGCCAGTGCTCTTAATCACTGAGCCATCTCTCTAGCCCCTCAGCTAGGTTTTTAAAATGACAATTAGAACTCTATGTCAAGGGTGACTGCTATGTAGACCAGATGCTTATTTGGATCACCCATGGACCCACAAACTGGTATTCCTGTGCAGAAAAAAAAAAACAAAAACAACCTAGGACAAGGTCAGGAATGTGGCTGTGTGCTTGTGCCCAACTTGCTGATAATGAAGGGTCTATGTGGGGCTGGAACACCAAACAAAGCCACCTCCTCACTGGAACATTTGTACGGAAGTTTGGGGGACTCCGGGTTGCTGGAGTGGCTCTGTGCCTGAAGGTAAAACCAGGGGTGCAAGGCCGTTTGTGTGCACTTGGGTAAGGCCCCGACCTCATGTGGAAAGAGACACTCAGGGCAGCTGCCTGCTGGTCAGTGTGACTGAACATGTTAGGCTCTGACACCAGTGAATTCATTATGGCCTAGGACTTGTCCCCAGGGAATACAGACGTGTATAAGAGGCTTCCCAGGCTTTGTGTCTAGGAAGAGGGAGAGCCAGGATTCAAGTCCTGGCTGGAGCCAGCCTCTGACCACCGTCCACATGATGTTCCGTGCTAAGTAACTGGTTATTTTAAAAAATATTTTATTTTATTTTATGGGCACAAGTGTATTGCCTGCATATATGTGAGTGCACCCATGTCATGCAATGCCACTGAGGTCAGAAGAGGGCTTCAGATTCCCCTGGAACTGGAGTTAAGGACAGTTCGTAGCTGCCCTGTGGGTACTGGGAATCAAACCCGGGTCCTGTGCAAAAGCAGTCAGTGCTCTTAACCGCTGAGCCATCTGTCCAGCCCCGTAATTGGTTATTATTAAGAAAGCCTGGCCAGGCATTGTGGTGCACGCCTTTGATCCCAGCACTCAGGAGGCAGAAGCAGGCAGATCTCTGTGAGTTCAAGGCCAGCCTGGTCTACATAGGGAGCCCCAGGCCACCTGAGGCTATAGAGAGACCCCAGGGTTCTTAGGCAGGAAATGCCTTTGTTCCCACTCCACTCCCCGGAAGCTTATGCATTCAATTTGCCATGGCTCACAGTGAGCTGAGCTTTGAAGTGGGGCTCCATGGCCATCTGCAGGCCACAGGCTCATCCAGGTGGGCAGTGGCCTTTTCTGCCATGCTGTGGAGCACAAGAAGGCCCATTCAAGCCGGGCGTGGTGGCACATGCCTTTAACCCCAGCACTCGGGAGGCAGAGGCAGGAGGAGCTCTGTGAGTTCAAGGCCAGCCTGGTCTACATAGTGAGTTCCAGGACAGCTGGGGCTACAGGAAGACCCTGTCTCAAAAAGAACCCCCCCCCAAAAAAACCAGTCCTATTCCGCGATGGGGGCCTCAGGAGTGGCCTCTCCATTCTCCCCGTGGCAGTTCCAACAGCCGCGATGGGGGCCTCAGGAGTGGCCTCTCCATTCTCCCCATGGCAGTTCCAACAGTGCTCTGCCTTCATCTCGTGGGACTGAGACCAGCGCCGGAAGTTGCA